TTTGTTCTTTGCCAAAATATTTTTGGTCGCCAAAGCGTCAACAATTATCCAAAGTGCAACAACACCAAAGGAAGGAATGGAAATGAAGCCACTGCAATTCCTTGCATGCAGAGAGCTACACACTCTTACACAACCATCCACATGCAATCAGCCATCGATTGAATGCCTGGGCCGAAGTCTTCTCACTTCTTTGGCAGATAACTGCAATAGATATTGGAGTTTATCCATCACTCTAATAAACTCAATTTTCAAATGAGGTTAGCAAAGTGAATGAAGTCGAATAAATCAAAAAATAAGGAAAGAAAGACAGAAAATAAATCGATGAATATTATTTTGATAAGTTAAAGGATTGTTATTTTTTGCAAAAAAATCGAAGAAAAGTTTACAAGATGTGATATTTTGAAAAGAAAATTAATTCATTAATGTCTCACTTTTTTCAAAAGCAATCAAAATATTATTGGGATATTGAAGATGGGGGCTACATAAAATGTTCGATTTTACATATGTCACCAATAATAAAAGCTTGTTTTTTCACTCCAGGGTATATAAACTTTGTCATTCCGTTTGTAACATCCCTAAATATTCGTCGTAGACCCCATAAAATATATATATATATTCATGATCAGCATAAAATTCTAAGTCGATTTAACGATGTCCGTTTGTGTGTCTGTTGAAATCACGACATTATTTGACGTAGAGCTTCAAAATTTGGGAGAACAATTGTTTTATGTGTCTAGGATGGTTGGTATTGAAAATGAGATATATCGGTCCACGTTTTGGTATAGCCGCCATATAACGGTACCTCCCAATATTCGGAATTTTGATGATTTTCGCCAGATTTTGGATTTGTTTAAAAATTGGTATTTGTAGGTCATAATGGGTTCTAGATCCTGTAGAGAACAAAGTATGTATAGGTCAACTTTTTCGTATAGACCCCACATAATGATAACTCCGGATATTCAGTATTTTGATGATTTTTGTCAAATTTTTTCACGGATGTGTCTTAAAATTGGTTTTTGTAGTTCATAATGGGATCTAGCTTCGGTGGCGAAACATTGAATAACTAGGTCCTCGTTTTCTTATAGCGCTACCCACCGATATTCCGTATTTTGATAATCCTAGACACATTTACCCACGAAATTATTTAAAATTTGGTATTTAAGAAGATTTGATAGATGACAATCCTTGAAGTATAAAATTGTCTATAGAGGTTCCCGTTTTGGAATGGCCCCATACAACGGCCTCACCCACTTTATGGTTTTTAACAGCATTATTCAAACGGTCGTACTGATATTTGTCGTTTAAAGTGAAACACGTTTGATCTCAGATGCTTTTATATAATCATATTTTCTTTATCCAATGGTGGAGGGTATTACAAATCCAGTCCTTCCGATCTCAATGTATTTTTTGTTGGTTCGTCTCAAACTACAATTTTAAAATACTTTCTCATCCCCAACATTGTCATCTCTATTTGTTCTGAAATATCTGCTCTTAACTAATTGACACTGAATTGGTTGCCTCTTTTTGTGACAAATAAACATTGGCATATCACCCTTTAATTATCTGTCGTGACAAAGTTGCAGATCCATCTGTTGGCTCATTTACAATTTATACACATGAATAATTTTCACCAACATGACATTTGAACACGAATATTGGATTTGCATAAGTGTGTTGGAATTCACACTTTTTGAAAACAAAAAAAAAAAAAACATTTTTAATACCAAAAATATATTACCAAGTGAAAATTTTTGGCGATTCGGAACTGAGAACAAATAAATTTAGGAAAAACATTGAGAATTGAAAAACAATGATATGTGTCGAGGAACAGTCCTTATTTTCCCTGGATTAGATATATTTTCAAGCGATTTTTCCCACGTGGTGATGGGAATTATAGCTTTATTCTAGATCTTGCAACAATTTATTATGTTTATAATTTTTGGAAATGTTTACAGAAACCTGTTCGTGTACCCCAATAAATGGTAACATTTGAAGAAAAATTTTCGGAAGTAAAGACAACTGTCATTCTCTTTAAAAAACTTTTTGTTAAATTTTTTTCCTGAGTAAAAAATGGTAGCGTGTTTGCCAGTTTCTCATTGCCTATTATATTGTTTTGAAAGAAAACTTTTAATTTTGACATTTTTGCTTTCTATCCATTGTCTTATCTTATGGGTATAGTAAATATCTCATATGAAATTCCCAGCTTACACTGCATCGGTCCAGCCATACTTAAGAACATTTTTTCTTTTCAGATATATTTTATACACGACTTTCATCCAATTTCATTTAAACGATTTTCTGTAACTAAGGGGAAATAAGTCTTCATTGAGCTATTGGTGAATGATGCGCCTAGGACTTGGATATATTTGTGTTGTTTAGATGCTGAGTTAAATTTAAAATTTTTATTCAAAAAATATATGGAGTTATATGGAGTCTATATTTAAACTTAAACCTATATGTACAGTTCTCTGCGAGGATGTTTCACATTAAAAAGTATCAGTCGGTTTTGCCGACAGATGTATACCCTCAACCAATGCTGGATTATTTAAATGTATTTTGGCTTCTGTTGTGATTGTTCAAACAGTTGACCCTGTAAAGCTAAGGTTCCGAAGGCATGGGCCAGTATTGTCCATATCGTTTCGGACCTAAATATATATGATATAAATATTGCGACATGCCAGGTTTGGACTATATCGACTACTTCCTTCACTTTGCATGAGATATGTGATAATTTTTAGAAAATGTTAAAATGTGCGTGAGGTACCAAATATAGTCGACCAAAATATTTGATTTTCATACTTCCTTTATATTAGACAGATAAAATATTGGTATCGAACATTTATATCCAATTTTATGCGAAATCATAAATTCCAAATTCATCTCAGGCTTATGGTAGAGAGAAATATTTAGGTACAGCAAGTTGTAAAGAATCGCTGACTTGTATCGCCAGTTATGACAGATCAAGGTACAGAAAATTGTGACCCTTTGTGCGTGAGGTACCAGAAAGGGTTCGCATATATATATCATCTTAACAACGTTGAGCTTTCTTTGAGCGTTTTGTTTTTCAAAATCTTGAACCTTATGTTGGGGGAGGTACCAGAAGAAATGATCCGTTCTCTACCATCTGTATAGCAGGTCTTGTGTTGACGGAAATGTTGAGATGCACCAAGTCCGATTGAATCGGATGTTAATTTCGTATTTTATAAGCTTAATAGCTTGGGGATAAATGTTGACCCTTTGTGGGGGAGTTACCAGAAAGAGTGGACCGATATAAGCCATCTTCACAGCAGATCTTTTGTTAGTAAAAGTTTTGAGATGTGTAGATTTGAAGACAATCAGATGCTTATTTCTAGTTTTACGAGCTTCATGGCTATTCCAAATTCTGACCCTTTGGGGGAGGTACCAGAAGGAGTGGACCGATATATCCCATCTTCAAGTTTGACAATAATATTACGATGTACCAAGTTTGTACCAAAGCGGTTACGCCCTTCGAGAACTATAGTGCGCACCAGCTAGAGAGACGGGCATCGCTAGATCGACCCCAAATGTCCTGAAATGGCTTTCGTGTAACAAATTTCGATGAGCCACATTTTGGCCGTATCAAATTATATAGGGTGAGATTAAAACACTGCAACCAACTTCAGACTACAGTCGTTTCTAAACCTCTCGACCGACAATTGATAAAATTATTCCAGTTACAGCTCAAGGAAGTCCGGACATCAAGGAAGTGGACGAAAAAAACAACAACATCATCAGTATTGGTTCGAAAATTAAAGAAGCGACTTGATCGAAACCCGAACCTGCTGTCCAGCAGTTTGTAAACAAACAAAATGATCGTGTCAAAGAGGTCAGCTGAAAATGTGCACCTTTGGTTGGCCACCAGAACTCAAGCGCCGGCCATGGTGATGGTGTGGGCCGCCATAACAGCCAATGGTCGCTCTCCGCTCGTATTAATCGACCGTGACCTCAGAATAAATGCCGAATATTATCGCGAAAATATTCTGGAGGGTGTATTAAAGCCTTGGGTACGCAAACATTTGGGCCGCAAACCTTGGACATTTCAACAGGACTCAACACCATCGCACTCAGCATGCTTCATTTCCAGCGCACAATGTCCACCAAAATCACCGGATACCAATTCGTTGGACTACAGTGTCTGAAGTATTTTGGAAAGGAAGGTTGTGTCGATCACCTCAAGCAAGCGCTTCGCCGGGAATGGGCCAAAATACTACAGAGCAACATTCAGGCAGCGTGTGATGGTTTCATTGGCCGTTTGAAGGCCATAATTTGTACCAAAGGTGACCAATTCGAACAAATCTAAACTTATTCTAAAATTTGATGCTATTTTCGACATTCTGTGCTTTCATTCAATAAAACTTAAAAAAATGTAAAAATTATAATTAGAAACACATTTTAGGGTTAAAGCCGTGTTTTGTGTGAGTTTGTGCAAAAATCTCCAACAAATCATCATATTAGAACGATGACGTCAAAGATATTCTTCGTCGAATTTTACTATAAGTCACCAAAGAATAGAAATCTAAATTTCTTCTAGGATCTACAGTAGTAGTATTTTGTATGTAACTTACGATTCCGTTTAGAGGGAATTTTTAAGCATATTTTAAAAAAAGGACCCTTTTGTGACTCGCTCGCGGGTTAAAATGTTATTATTTATTTTATATACCTAAAATGCAAGGATCTTAAGGAATCTTAAATCGAAAATTTCTAAAAGTGTTGAAGAGCTGGGGAACTTGTCTCCTCTATTTAGGTTACTTCGCGATGTAAACTTTCAAAACACCCTAGGATGCGCCTTCTTTTTTAGCTCACCTTTATAATCTGCTGCATTTTTATGGAAAAATGGAAAAAAATGAAATCTGTCTCACAGTGAAATCTATACAGGTCCCCGTTTCTTTATAACGCCAACACATCACTCTTCTTTACATTCCTTAATTTCGTATTCCAAGAGTAACAAGTACAATTTAGGAAAAGTATTTAATACTTACCCTGGATCATTTGGCACCTCGGATGGCGATGCCAATTCCTGTTGAGCGGTTGTTGATTGCTGCTGATCGATTTTCATGTCCATGCTGATGGTGCTGGTAATGACGATGATGACGAGTAGAAAAATCGAATAGAGATTCTCTGTGGAACGAATGGAGAATGTGGCGCGAGAGTGTGCGTAGATTCAATTGATTCTAACAATAAATAATGCCACAAGTAATAATGCGTATCCGATCACTTACAAAAGGAGTTATTTCTTATTATCTTACTTTATACGTATGTGTGTGTGTAGATTTCAACTAATTTTGCGCAATTTTACAAAAAGGCAATACTTGATCACTTAACTAGATTTTAATTATTATTATTTTTTATTTGGTTTGAGTTAACTTTATTTTGTACGATTCTAAAGCGGAACAATACACAAAAGCTTAGGTCATTGGTTATATGGTTCGCATAAAAAACGTAGAAAACGAATGAAATCACTTGGAGGATGTAGTATATATGATTTTTACTAAATAATATATCCGGGTTTTGTATTTTTTCACTTAATATTCTTCTTTCTTGTTAATTTGTTTTATTGACACATTTGTTTTTTTTTACGTAGACAAATTTATTTAACAATTATTTTAAAATAATTACTTTGTTTTATTGCATTTTTTAATTACTGGCTTCTTTTCTGTATTTCTTTATTTTTTTTTGTCTCAAATACAATAAAAACGAACACACTTTAGGGCACTTTTCATTGAAGAACAAAAGGTGTCGAATAGAGAGAGAGAGAGAGATAGAGACAAGCGACAGAGAGTACAATGATTTACGACTTTTCCTAAATGGAAATTTCAGCTACTTCGACACTGTAATGGAAAATCGACAATGTATTTTATTTATTTATTTTAATTTAGCACTTTGTTTCTTTACTTGATGATTTTTGTGTTCAATAAAATATTTGTTTTTTTTTTTTAGTTTATTTTAAGTTGTTTGTAGATTTGAATTTTGAGTTTTGCTCCTCTCTATTTAAATTTGCTATGCAGTTTTTGTTTTTGTTTTTTTTTTTTATTTTAGTTGACTATAAGGCTTATTTGTTTTGCAATTTGATTTTTGTTTGTTGGTGTTTTCTTTTTGCAATTTTGTGTTGTGTTTTGATCTACCTCAAAAGATTCTAAAGACTACAACTACACTGCCTGAAAAAGGGAAAGAAATAAATAACGACAGTGTTTGATGAAATAAATTTAAATACATTTGAAATTGTAATTTCTTTTTGGGGGTTATATGCAAAACATTCCGTAAAAACTGACGCTGTTAGATCGAGATCCCTATATCCAAATTCAATATTTTGGTAATTCATGTTTTTAATCAAATAAAGTTTTCGTCATAAATAAACCCTTTCAAAAAAAATAAATAAATAAACTGTAAAAGCGGATTCCAACAATAAAACAAATAATTTTTCCACTAATTGTCGAAATTTAGTTGGAAAATTATAACTACTTGTTCCGGTTGACGTGCCCTTACAAAATAATGGGTTAGTAGGTTGATTTGTAAATAGTTACAATTGCCAAAAATAAGTTAGGAAACTCTTTATTCAGTTTTAGTTTTAGCTTTGTTACTCCTCCCATAACAATGACGCCTATGGCCAGAATATATTATGTATATGGAAGTTTGTCAAAGCTGACTCAAAGTTGGCCTTCACATCCAATTCTGTGAAACCAATTCTCTTCACCACACAGGAAGACTCATCTGAATCTGGCTTTTGAGCGATTGTCTTCCCCTGACAGCGTAGGTCTGAAGGGTCGGCTATTAGCACGTCTCAATTTCAAGGTAACATGGACCGTAAACTAAAAGAATCTTAATAATATCACAGAAAGCCCAACCTAGCCAAGAGCTTTTAAAACGGCTGCAAAGTCTGTAAGCAGGCCAAGCATATCAAAAATGGAAAAGATAATTCAGGGTCGGCTAAACATTCCATGCTTCTCAGAAAAAAAAGATGACGGCTAAAACTCACGATCAGAAGCCAAAAATACGCACTGAATTAGCTCTTTTAGATCCAACAAGTGACAGCGGACAAAGTCATCTGAAAGGTTGGTCTTGACACACCATAAGAAGGCGGCTTAAACCCCACGATCAAAAGCCAAAAAACCTCTATGAATAAGATTTCCGAATGAGGCTGTCTAATATCCAACAAGTAACTGCGCTAAGGAGGGCTAAACGATTGCTCTTGTCACGATCCCTAGACAAAGGAGGAGACTAATTTGCCGTAAAAGGAATCGTCCGCCGATTATTTTTGCAGTTCGGCAGTCCCACCATTTACGACTGATTCTCTATCATTGCCATTTCTAGAGACTAGTCTTGTTATTTCTTGGGTTTAATAAATAATAAAACAAGTAAAAGAGTAGTTAAGTTCGGCCGGGCCGGACCCACCATTTGGATTGTAATAATAGTGGAAAATTGATGTGCTACAGGAGTAGCGAAATCAGAATTCCAAATTATAAGTAAAATTGGCTTAAATTGTCGAAATAGTGAATATAGGGAGGTACATTTATAAGGGAACTATATGAAATCGTAGGCCTATATAAACAGTACTCCGTTGCAGGGGGTAGAACCTGTTAAATACTCTAAATACCAGATTTTAAACTATTGCTAATTTGAAAGTGCGGCTGAAATTGTCAAAATACCGAATATGGAGAGGAACAATTATATGGGCGCTATATGAAAACTTTGACCGGTATGGCTCGTCTACGAACTTGGCCTACCTGCAGACAAAAGACTATTCTATGCAAAATCTTAGGTTTCTATAACACGCCGTCTAAACATTGCTGGGTCTAAAGTCATTATTTTGAAGAGATACAAACAGAATTACAAACTTAATATACCCTCTATACACTCCCACACTACGGAAGGTTTCCTTTTAAAGTGTCTACCTTAAGCACTTAAAAAAATTAAACCACTTCGGGTCTAAGTTTCTGGCAAAAATTAGCTGTAAAAGGGAAAAGTAAAAGCCTCCCTCCAATGGCCCATTACCCTTTCTTCATAGCGATATATACTTAGCGTTAAAAATAATAAATTTGATAAAAATAATTCTGGTATAGGTTCATCCATTTTTAAAAAACTAAAGTATTCATGCATCTGAATTTAGCTTTTATTTCCTAATTGTGTAAATTAGATGACATTACAGGTTTCGTGGCCTCTTTTTAAAAGAAGAAACAACGTATCTGAGGTTGTTCCTATCTTTACCATCGTTAACGCCCTACTTAGGTCCTAAAAAATTATAGTTTTATGTTACATCCAACCATGTCTATAACGACTCCATTAATCGATATATTTACATTAATTAAGCCATAATATACACTGGTGGCCAAAACTAAAGCAACTTACATCGCAAAGACAATAAATGTCCTGTAACTTTTACAAAAATAAACAAATCGTAATTATTTTTCCAGTTTTAAATGAGGGGTTTAATTCACTTTTAAGAAACTAAAAATAAAAATACAAAAATAATTTTGAACGAAAAATAATATGTGGAAAACTAAAATGACCCAATTTTTGCTTGGTCAAAACTAAAGCAACTTTTGATTTTTTATTTTAACATAATTAAATTTTGGCTAGTAGTCGATAGCATAACCATTATATTTGATAGCAGCTGCACACCTACGAAGCATTGAATCTATAACACGCTCAATTTGATCCTTGGGTGTGCTTTCCCAGGCACCTCGAATTCTTTAGAAAATGTTGTGTTTATTTATTTCCGAATCTCACTTGATCTCCCTATCTACGATACTCCAAAGGTTTTCTATGGAGTGTTTGACAGGTGATTGTGCCGGCCATAACAAAACATCAATTTTTGACTCCCGCAACTAATATTTGACAAGTTTTGATACAAGTTTGGGATCATTGTCATGCTGAAACACCCAAATCAGCCGAATATTTTACTCAGCGTAAGGGAACAACGTGATGTCCAACACATCTTTGTAAACAAACCGATCCACAACTTCCTTTATTTTGTGGATAGGCCCAAGTCCATAGAAAGAAAAACAGCGCCACTCATCCCAGAAATAATGTTTTTTTCCATTGAGCTTGATTCCACTTAATATTATCGTTTCCGAAAGCCTTTTTGATTTTTTTTAGATATAAATGGTTTTTTGATGTCTTACGGGCATGCAGACCAGCTGCCACTACTCGTCTACGCACTGATCTCGAGTTTATATCCAATGATTGCTCTCTCACCAATCCAGTTGAACTCTTAACTGGTTGTTTTTTATTTCTCTCACAATTTGTGGATCAGTACGGGCTGAAGATTTTTACGGCCTTCATCCGTTATAGACTGTTACTACTGATCCAGTTTTAAAAAACCGACTTAGTATACAGAAATAATTTTGAAATCACATAAATATTTATGAAATATTTCTCGGAAATCATTTTCTGTGATATGATGTTTTGATAGTCACTGATAATTTGCTGTTTTATTCAGGTACTGTATTTGCTTCTAGCCATTTTTAAAATTTTTTGGGCGGTACTTAAAAAACGAAAAGAAAAACACATACTGTTGTAATAAACTTCTCAAAAAGGATTTATGACAAGCGAAATTGTCGAAGGAAGCAAAAAGCAATAAATATCACAGTAAAAACAACTGAAATTGCAGCGGTTATGTAAATGTACAACAGAGTTGCTTTTGTTTTGTCCAAGCCAAAATCGGGTTAATTGACTTTACCAAACATTATTTTTTATATAAAAATGAATTTTGGTTTTATGATTTACGTTTTTAAAAAGTGAATAAAGTACCTAATTTAAAACAAGAAAAACTTTCTCATTTTCTTAATTTTTAAAAAAGTTACAGGGCATTCATTCTCCTTGTAATTTCAGTTGCTTTAGTTTTGGCCACCAGTGTAGGTGGCTCCAACCTCACTTGCTGTCATATGGTCTACTGTAAATCCTTCTTAGTATACAGACTTGCATCTCCCCTCTACAGCTTGTTAACATTTTTATGACTTAATTATGGCCAATTTTCATTTAACTTTCAGTTAATTGTAATTTAAATATCAATTTAAAAAATTCCGTAAAGTTCGCCCTTTGCACGACGTCTAGTTATTTGGAATATTTATGAATGCATTTATTAAGTGAGTTCAAAAGAATCTCCAAAAAAACACATGTCGGCAATTTATAATTGTTTTCATTTTTTTGCTTTCTTAAATGCAGTTACAGTGATGGTGAAAATTGAACGCATCTACGGATTTATGACTGATTAATTATTATTCTCAAAAGACCATAAAGGGTAAAGGCAAATAAGTTCTGAATGTATGCCACAGCTGTGACACATCTTAGCGCCTACACTCAGATCTCACCTATTTTTCATTTCCTCTTTCTTCTCCTTGCCTTGGAATTTTATTCCACAGTGCATCTTGGGGTATTAATTTACCCCTCAGAGTAAAATTGTGATGTATGTACATGTGTATGTATATGACAGAAATGCATTCATATATATGATACATACACACACTGCCATATTTATACTCTCCCATGGTATGTGTTTGCGTGTGTGTGTGTCTGTGTCTGTGGATGGGATGCATGTGAAACCAATAAACAAACGCGCTAACTGCCAATCAAGTATACACGTGACTACGTAATTACAACAATTGCACTGGTTCGCCAGCTTCGACTGCATGTTAACACATTCATCAGAACATACAGACAGACATACAGACAGACATACCCACATACAGGGTATGTGCAATAGAATGCTTAATATCTGCATGTTTGAGAGTGTGTCGGTATGTTTGTTCCAAATAGACGTAATATGCATTGTTATTGTGTCTACGTCGTTTAAATCACACATACATACACACATACGTATGTACATACGATACTCGCTCGAATCGAATCGTCTGAATGTTGTTCATACGTAAATGTTCAGATGATTCCAATAGATGGATAAATAGATAGATGTATGAATGAATGGATAGATGGATGGATGTTTGTACCTTCATTTGATGGCCATTTGATTTGGTATGATCGAGCTTGTGGCAATCGTCATTGCTTGCTGTTGTTGTTGTGTGTCAAATATGGCAACAACAAAATGCAGTATTCGAAGTGGGAACTGTCGCTCTTAGCAGAGGGAGGGCATGGCGCGAATGATTGTTACTCATGTTCAATTATATTTTTATAATTTTCAATATAAAACGGCATTCAACGT